AAATATTAAATAAATGTGGATATCTACATAAAATGATATTCTAAACACACTATCCTAAACATACAGCACCATATTTTAACACTAAAGCAGTCACTGACTCGCAACCACTTGCAATCATAAGTGACAGAGTTAATTTCGGGTAAAATCAATGAAAATGGGGTATGCCGATAGCATAAAAATGAGATGTGATGGAGCAAATCTGAGATCAGATTTGGAATCAGCACCCTGAAATTAGTCTAGAACAGCTGCAAAAGTCCAGGCCAGAAAAACATGTTGTTTTTTGTTGACCAGTGTAATTATTTGATTTCTGAGATGCCGCATCGGAGCCATAGAGCACAGGGTTTGTGTTTTATTGTCGTAGTTTTGTAATGGCTTCGTTCGTGGTGCGTGCCCGTCGTCGTGGTAATGAACACGGCGTGTTGTGTTCACTAAAGACAATTCCGCTCGTGCACAATGTTACAGGAAGCGCAGTTTGAAGTAATTCGGTACAAACTAATTGAATTGAGTCCACGGCCACGTGTATTGGCGTTTTTTTGTTAGTTTTGTTAACCAGCCGAGATCCCATTGTCATCTGCAAGGGGTGGGGGGGGGGGTAAATCCCCAGATCGAGCGCGTTTGTACGCCACAGAATCCGCAAGTACGCGACGGAGTTAGGCAACAGAACTGCCTCTCTCCCGCGGAGACTTGTTTTTGCTTCGTTACTCGCACATCCCTCTGATCCTCCGAGGGCGCTGGGTCCACACCAACATCTCCCAACCGCAGCCGCTCCGATTCTGCCTTTTATTTTTTGTGTTGCCGTGAATTTCCGTGGCTTATTTTTTTTTATTTCCCAGCGGATAAAGGATATTTCCCCCCACCGCCCCCGTGTCAAAGTGTATAACAGGAGCACTTTTCTAATAAAATTTTTTTAATAATAAAATCTGTAATTGTGGAGTGCTTTGATGTTGTCTGCCGGCCGTGTCGCCCTTGAAAAGGAGGGCTTGTCAGCTGGTCCGGGCTTTCTCGTCCAGTGAAACTTCTGAACTTCTGAAAAAAAGAGCTTCGAAGCTCGGATTTCTCAAATTTAAAATAAATATTCTGATTCGTATAACTATAGACACACAACGTACGGAGGAGCGCTGTGTCATGCCCTGCTGCTGGATGAATGCCTCCCCCTCGCCGTGGGCATGTTTGACCATACTTCACCACGCTGGTCACCGCGGGGATGTGGTGAAAGGCAACCACGATGTGGTTCAGATGTGACTCACCGCTGATGTCAGCAGTGGCCGGGAATTGAAACTCAAGTTGCTGGATTTGCAGCGGAGTGCTGTAAACTAAACTAGAAAATAGTTAAGTTTAAGTTTGTGTACATTTGTAAGTGATTCGATTACCTTTCCCTCTACTTAGGACTCCTATTGTGTCTCTGTGTCGTTTGTTGTTGGCACGTTCTGACCGGCCCCGACTTGACATCTGTCTAAAAGAGCTTTATCGCTCATCGGATTCCTCCAGTATAAACACTTCTGATGGTGTGCGCTAACAACTGCGCCACCGCTCCACGCCGAGCGCTCATGCTGCCAGCTCGTGCATTGTGCGCACACGTGGTGGTCACACACAACAACGCGTCTCATGAAGACAAAACACTCAGCACGTTCGTCAACAATGTTGTGGCCTTCAAATAAAACAAATTAGATGTTGGCCAATGGAATTTGCTGATATCACACACACACACATACTCTTAGGTTGATTTTCTTTCGGTAAAGCCACGTAGGTAAAAATTTTAAATTAATAAAAGTAAAATAAAATAAAAATCACGACATTTCAGTTTGTACAAACTGAGTTGCAGTGGTGATGGTGGTGGTGATCATGGTGATGATGGTGGATGGTGGTGATGGTGGTGATGATGGTGGTGGTGATGGTGGTGGTGATGGTGGTGGTGATGGTGGTGTGATCATGGTGATGATGGTGGTGATGATGGTGGTGATGGGGTGGTGATGATGGTGGTGATGATGGTGGTGGTGATGGTGGTGATGGTGGTGATGATGGTGATGATGGTGGTGATGATGGTGGTGATGGTGGTGATGATGGTGATGATGGGGTGGTGATGGTGGTGATGGTGGTGATGATGGAGGTGGTGATGGTGGTGTTGATGGTGTGATGGATGGGTGATGTTGGAAGTAGAGGTCGTGGTGTTGGTGGACGTTACAGTGGTGGTGGTAATAGTGGAGGTGGTGGTGATGGTAGTGATGGAGGTGGCCTCACCACCACCACCATCACTCACCACCATCACTCACCACCATCACTCACCACCGTGATGATGATGAGAGAGAGATCGAACCCACGACATCCTGTAGACCAGGCGAGGTGGTCAACATCTCATAGCCACACGGAGCCAGCGGAACGGATAATTGAATCGATGATAATCGATCATCAGAGAGAGGGAGACACGCAAAACGATGATTATAATCGATGGGAATCGATTAGCAGAGAGAGACGCGCAAACCAACGATTAGAATCGATGAGAATCGAACAAACGATTCCCGGTGACGTCATCACCCGGAGGACCATCGCCAAGTTCAAGATGGCGGCACCCAGGTTGGAGGTTGTTGTTGTGGTGGTTGTAGTGGTGGTGGTGGTTGTATTGGTGTGAGGTGGTGGTTGTGGTTGTAGTGGTGGTTGTTGTGGTGGTTGTTGTTGGTGGTTGTAGTGGTTGTGGTGGTGGTTGTTGTGGTTGTGGGGTTGTTGTGGTGGTTGTTGTGGTGGTTGTGGTGGTGGTGGTTGCTGTGGTGGTGGTTTGTAGTGGTGGTTGTTGTTGTGGTGGTGGTTTGTAGTGGTTGTGGTGGTGGTTGTTGTGTGGTGGTGGTTGTTGTGGTGGTGTTGTTTGGTGGTGGTGGTTTGTTGTGGTGGTTGTTGTTTGTGTGGTGTTGGTTGTGGTGGTTGTTGTTTGTGTGGTGGTGGTGGTTGTTGTTGTTTGTGTGGTGGTGGTTGTTGTTGTGTGGTGGTTGTTGTTGTGGTGATGGTTGGTTTGGTGGTGGTTGTTGTTGTGGTGGTTTCTTGTTTGTGTGGTGGTGGTTGTTGTGGTGATGGTTGTTTGTGTGGTGGTGGTTGTTGTTGTGGTTTGTTTGTGTGGTGGTTTTTGTTGTGGTGTTGTTTGTGTGGGGTGGTGGGTTGTGGTGGTTGTTGTGGTGATGGTTGTTGTTGTTTGTGTGGTGGTGGTTGTTGTTTGTGTGGTGGTTGTTGTGGTGGTGCTTGTTGGGTTTAACGAGGCTGCATTGTGTGAGGAGCTCACAAATCCTTGAAAGATCTGGGCAAAGTCCCCCATCAGTGAGCTCCTCCGGCAGGCAAGGCTGCGTTTGGCTGGGTCATGTAGCCCGCATGCCCAGCCACCGCATGCCTAAACAGCTTTTGTTCGGCCGGATCGAGGGGGCTAAACGGTGTGCGGCACGGGCTAGAGAAGAGATGGAGTGATGTGGTACAGGAGGACGTGGAGCTGAGTGGACTTGCCGATGACTGGTACCAGCGGGTGTCAAGATCGGCTCTGTGGTGGAGGCTCGTGAAGGACGCTACTGGGCAGTTGGAGGCAGTCGCCCTCCAACAACAACGGAGGGCGGAGGAGCGACGCTCACAACAACGAGCGGAGCGCCGGGTGCCTAAAGCACGGCAAGTTGGTACAGTAGGGGGCACAGGTGGTGCATCAGCCAGTCATCTCGGTCATCTCAGTCGACCCGTGGCACCTGCTGGGTCTGCCCCGTGACCTGCCAGCGGGCGTTCGACACTTCACGTGGCCTCAAGGTGCACGTGGCCTGGCACAAGCGTCGTGATGACGTCACCGCCACTTAGTGGCGAATTGCGGTTGCTGTTGTTGTAATGTGTGTGTGTCTGTGTGTAATGTCTACACACACACACGCTCACCTCTCCCCCACTCCCCCCCTCCCAGGCCAAAGGACTTTGTCACCACCATGGCCACTGCGGCCCTCCTGTCTGACGCTCCGCGCCCTGCCCCTGCTGCTGCTGCCCCTGCTGCCCCTGCTGCTGCCCCTGCTGCCCCTGTCCCTGCTGCCCCTGCTGCTGGTGATGTTGCCGGTGGTGGCGTCGATTGCGAGCAACCTGAGGAGTTGGCGGTGGTGTGGGCGGCTGGGAAGCTGCGCTCAATATTCACGCTGCTCGTTGAGTGTGAGGAGGACGACCATGTGAGACCACGGGTGGGGCGCATGGGGGGACAAGGATATGTGTCTGTGTGTGTAGGTCGACTCAGCCTCAAATGTGTAAACATCGCTGCTAGGGAGACAAAGGGCGAGGTGTTGGCCACCGACCCCCTCGTGTGCCGTGCCGGCCTTTACAGGTGCTACTCACTAACAGCACTTGCCCCTACAGTCTGTGAAGGCTACACGGGGGATCTTTGTGCACGGCACGGGCTAGAGAAGAGATGGAGTGATGTGGTACCGGAGAACGTGGAGCTGAGTGGACTTGCCAACGACTGGTACCAGCGTTGTCAAGATCGGCCTCAGTGGTGGAGGCTCGTGAAGGACGCTACTGGGCAGTTGGAGGCAGTCGCCCTCCAACAACAACGGAGGGCGGAGGAGCGACGCTCACAACAACGAGCGGAGCGCCGGGGTGCCTAAAGCACAGCAAGTTGGCACAGTAGGGGGCACAGGTGGTGCATCAACCAGTCGTCTCGGTCATCTCAGTCAGTTGACCCGTGCACCTGGGTTTGCCCCTTGACCTCCTGCCAGTGGGCGTTTTTGACACTTCACGTGGCCTCAAGGTGCACATGGTCTGGCGAATGGCAGTTGTTGTTGTTTGTGTATCTCCTCACCTCCCCATGCCCCCACAGGTGCTTGCGTGTGCATGCGAGGTGTTGCAAATCCTCAGCTCCAGCCATGCTGGCGCATTGGCATTTAACAACAATGGAAGCCTCGCGGCCTTAGCCAGCCTGCTGGGACGCACTCACAACCCTCACACCCTGGAGAAGATCACCGGTAGAAACCCACCCACACCACCCACACTCACCACCCACACTCACCATCCACACTCACCACCCACACTCACCACCCCACGCTCACCATCCACACTCACCACCACACTCACCACCCACTCTCACCACCCACTCTCACCACCCACACTCACCATCCACACTCACCACCCACACTCACCATCCACACTCACCACCCACTCTGACCACCCACACTCACCACCCACGCTCACCACCCACCCTCGCCACCCCTACCCCAGGCACGCTGTGGAACCTGTCGTGCCACGAGTCTCTGAGGGCTGCGCTGGTGGAGCTTTGCCTCCCGGCACTGGTGGAGCACGTGCTGGTGCCAGAGAGCGGCTGGAGGAGCAATTTTGGAGACTCACCCGCCTCACCCTCCCCACCCGGCTCGTCCGCCTCGCCTTCCGCGGCGTTCTGCAACGCCTTGACGTGCCTGCGGTAAGGGGTACCAAGAGGCGGACGTGACGGTGATTTTGCGGTTGACGCGACTGGGAACGTCGCAGTTGACGCGACGTCACGCGGTTGACGCGACGGGGACGTCGGGGGTTCAGACTAGAGGCTTCTTCAACCCGACGTGGATCTTCATCACCAGCAACACGAAGAACCCCGAGCCCCTCACTCTTTGGTCTGCATCAGCAGCAGGCCACGCTTTCCCACCTGATGACGGACACTTGCGTTGCGCCCGAAACGTCGTGATTTAATTGTTTTCATTTATTTTATTTTTCGTGACTTTACCGAAAAAACCAAAGAGTATGAATCATCGCAGTCATGAAAACTTCAAATCTAGAACCCCTCGCCCCGCCCACCTTCTAGATCTCTCGAGATCTTTCCCGAAGGCTCCCCGAGAGCTGTTTTGTACCACGTGACTGCCCAGCAGCCCCGTCCCAATATCATCCGGTCACGTGTCGGCAGGTCAACCAGCGTATCGTGCCCCAACGTAACCCTGGCTGGCTGACGCTCCCTCTCGCTCCCTCGCCAGGATCCCGCACCGCATGCTCTACGTGGTGCCTCCGCGCTGACCAGCGCTCACCCAAGCCCCGCTAGGGCTGGTACTACGCCCTGCTAGCGGGCTACACGTAATGCCAACACATCATCCGCCGTGGCTTCGTAAGCCCGGCACCACGCAGTGACAATCACAGTCACTACACAGGCAAGAACATCTGCTGGACTACATTGTGACGGAACAGTGGATGCGGGCCCATGTCCTTGACACCAGGACCTACCGTGGAGCTGATCTGCCCTCTGACCATCGACTTGTCATCTGTAAGATGCGCCTGCCATTCTTCCACTCCGGTGGTGGGTCTACACCCAGGACCCCATTCCAACCTAAGGTGGCCTGGTCTCAGCTGATGAAAGTTTGAAGCGAGAATTTCATCATTGCTTGCGGCTGGGGTTGGCATCGTCCCTCATTCCTCATGTCGAGGGGAAATGGGCGAGGTTTAGGACTGTGGCTCATGCAGCTGCAATGGCTGCTTTGAGTACACGGTCCAGACCTCCTCAGAGAGCCTGGCTGACAGACGAGGTGTTCAGGCTGGCTGAGAAAAAGCGACAGGCCCACTCTCATCGTCTACAGCATCCCACGTCCGAGAATGAGGAGGCTTACCGCAGCCTTCGTTTAGAGGTTTGGAGAGCCTTAAGGCGCTGCAAGGATGGTTGGTGATTGCAGGTTCCTGAAGAGATGAAGTCTGCCTCAATGGCCTGCGATCACAAATCGTTTAATTCCATAAAAAAGTAACCTGCAGCACCACACCTATTACCATCATTAGGGGAAAGAACGGTGATCCAATCTCCGACCCCCAGGAACAGGTTTGCAGATTTGCTGAGCATTTCTGTGAGGTCCTGGGAGAGGGGAAATCTCCCACCCTGGAAAACATTGTGGGACAAAGAGAGGATAACCCTGCTAAGGCTACGGTGCCTCATTATTTGAAGAGGAAGTCACCCCCTGTAAGTGGCTGGCTGAGGTGCTATCTAAGGAAGTACTGAAAGCGATCCAGAACCTGAGACGAGGAAAGGCACCGGGCAGAGATGATCTCTCAAGAGAAATGCTGAGGGAGGGTGGCGTTTGTGCACAGACTGCCCTATATGACATCATAACAACAGTCTGGACCACTGGACGGGTTCCGCAGGATTGGGAGGATGCCCTGGTGGTCCCCCTCTTTAAGAAGGGCGACCCTGCACAGACTAACAACTACAGGGGCATCTCACAACATCGCCTTGCTAGGCACGCTGATGAGAGGCTTGCGGAGCCCCAATGTGGTTTCAGGAAAGGGCAGTCCTGCACAGATGCCATATTTTCTGTCCGTCTGCTACAGCAGAGGTGTAGGGAATTCTAACAAGACCTACATCTCTGCTTTATTAAACTGGTCAAGGCCTATGATACCATCAGTAGGCCTGGGCTCTGGGTTGTTTTTCGTGCTTTCGGAGTCCCTGACCCTCTGCTCACGATCATTAAGGACCTTCATGATGGTGAGCGGGCCTGGGTAAAACTACATGGCCGGGAGTCAGAGCCATTCCCTGTACACCTTGGGGTGCGACATGGATGTCCTCTGGCTCCCACATTATTTAACATCTATTTTGACCACGTGGTTAGTGAAGCCTTCAACAGCTGTACCGGGGGAATTTCCATCTGGTACAGATATAATGGGAGGCTGATCGATGCCCCGGTGCGGTCAAGGGATGGCTCCCTATTGGTCAACCACGTTATGTATGCCGATGATTTGGTAATAGCTGCTCATTCAGAGGAGGAGTTGGAGACGCTGCTGCTGAGACTGGAGCGTGCCACTAAGAGGTGGGGCCTTACCATCAGCCCCACCAAAACTAAGCACCTGCCTGGGTATTTTGTACCATCGGACACTCCACCCCCACAACTCCCAATCGGTGATGGGGCATTTGTGGAGAGAGTGGAGAGTTACTCATACCTGGGCAGTGTGCTTATGACCATCTCCAGTTTAACAGCAGAGGTCTCACTCCGAATCAGTCGAGCGGCAATATCTTTTCATCGGTTGCGTAACGCTGTGTGGAAGCTACCTGGTCTGTCGCTCCGCACGAAGCTTCAGGTCTTCTCGGCCACAGTCATTCCCTCCCTTCTCTACGCTTGCGAAACGTGGACCCCCCTAATGGAGCATCTTCGCCGGTTAGAAACATTTAGGCTGGCCTGCCTATGATCCATCCTGGGTTTAACCCACAGGCTGGATTGTGTGAGGAGCTCACAAATTCTTGAAAGATCTGGGTAAAGTCCGCGAGCGCTCACACCGCTCCTCATACATGACGGCGTTAACTATTATTATTCATCATCGAGGTGTTTGGGTTTAGATCACATTATCCACTATACACTACACTATACACTACACGATACACTACACTATACACTACTATACACTACACGATACACTACACTATACACTACACTATACACTGCACTATACACTACACTATACACTACACTATAAACTACTATACACTACACTATACACTACACGATACACTACTATACACTATACACCACACTATGCACTACACACTACACTACACTATACACTGCACTATACATTATACACGCAATATAACCCAGACAAACCCTCTATCATGGAGAGAGAGTGTGTATATTTATTGTTGTTAATGAAAACACTGAAATTCGACTCGTTTCTAGGGTGGCGGATCCCGCCGGCGAGCCGGAGCCCACGGCACCTCCTCCCACGGCACCTCCTCCCACGGCACCTCCTCCCACAGCAGCAGCTCTCGCAGCAGCAGCTCCCACAGCTCCTCCCGCAGCAGCGATGTCGCCGCGGGAATTGCATCAACTCCGTGACGAGTTGCGGGATCTTCAGAGGGAGCTGGGGGGGGGCGACGCCGAGACCCGACCAGGAGCCCCCAGAGCAGATCGCCGCTGGCGCCTGCCGCCGGCAGAGGCACCGGCCGCACGTCTTGGCTCTAGCGCGAGCGAGTTTCACCCTCGCCGCCGCCGCGGCGTCACCGGCCAATCGATTTTTGCCACCCCACGTTCCATTTCCTCGCCCCCCCCCCCCCCCCCCCAATGCACCGCCGCAGTTTTCACCGTCTCTTTGCTCGACGTTCTTCCGTCGTCAAGGTTCAATCGGAGGCGACCGTCTGTGCCTTTTGTAAAGATTCTAGCGGCAGAGCGCGGGCACCCCACTCACGCGACGGTGTGGGGGCGGCACGTCGGGCTCCCAGCCTCGTAGCTCGGGGGATTCAGCTCTGCTGGGTTTGTAGCCCAGAGTGTTGGGAGCAGAGGTCGCAAACGGGGTTTGATTCCTTAGCCGTACCCGGCCGCACCAGGGTCGCAAACAGGTATCTGTGTGTGTGTGTGTGTCTGTGTGTATCTGTGTGTGTATCTGTGTGTGTGTCTGTATCTGTGTGTATCTGTGTGTGTCTGTGTGTATCTGTGTCTGTGTGTATCTGTGTGTGTCTTTGTGTATCTGTGTGTGTGTCTGTGTGTCTGTGTGTATGTGTGTGTCTGTGTGTATCTGTGTGTGTGTCAGTGTGTATCTGTGTGTGTCAGTGTGTGTGTCTGTGTGTATGTGTGTGTCTGTGTGTATCTGTGTGTGTCTGTGTGTATCTGTGTGTCTGTGTGTATCTGTGTGTGTGTGTCTGTGTGTATCTGCTTACATTATCAGAGTTATGTTTTTGTTTGCATTATGGCTGCAGGTATTGTGGTCTATGCAAACATGACTCCTTGTAAAAAAAGGTGTCAGTTTTGTTGCAAGATAAAAGGGTAAAAAAACAATTATCATATTTTTCTACTGGTAAAGGAGGTTCCAATGGTGTAAATGGTTACTCACCAGTGACTCACGGCCTACCCGTACCCGGCCGCACCAGGGTCGCAAACGGGTACCCGTACCCGGCCGGGTACGGGTAGCCGGGTATCGGGTAGGTAGGGTACGGGTATCGGGTAGGGTACGGGTAGCGGGTAGGGTCCGGGTATCGGGTAGGGTACGGGTATCGGGTAGGGTACGGGTATCGGGTAGGGTACGGGTATCGGGTAGGGTACGGGTATCGGGTAGGGTACGGGTATCGGGTAGGGTACGGGTATCGGGTAGGGTACGGGCTATCGGTAGGGTACGGCTATCGGGTAGGGTACGGGTATCGGGTAGGGTACGGGTATCGGGTACCTGGTTGCGACCTCTGATTGAGAGTTCAATCTCCTTAGAACGCGTTTTTTGTGGCATCGCGGCTTCCGCATTGGGCCAACGTATAAATGCACGAGTCGGGGTGGATGTTTCATTAAAGCAACCCAAATCTTTTTGTTACTTTAGCTAACTTCTTAATTTGCGTGAGTTTCTGTTTTAAATTTTTTCGTTATATTTCCTCACTCCATCGGTGGATACGAGGGCTTGAGTTTAGCGGGCGCACGTCCTTATTATACCGTAGCAGCCGGCTCCGATTTATATTGACAAAACAAACGGCATTTAAGATGTTGGCTATGCGGTTTGTGAACAGCTGTGGCCAAATCTGAACAGCAGGTGACGTGGTGTTGTGTATATTGTTTTTTTGAAAAATATAAAAATTGGGATTAGAGGAGTCACGCGGTATTCTCATCCTCTTATCGGCGAGGTTATCTGTCATTTTGCTCCTTTTAGCTGGAAGGTAAAGATTCGCAGATGGCCCCACAGATAATAAGATCAGCAGCTCTATTGGTGTTCCCCCGTGTCACAGCGGATCACAGGAGTTCTGCATTGAATTTTGCGCAGTGTTTGAAAGCTATCATTCAACCATTATGCACCAGATATACACAAAAACTGCGTTTAAACGATCTCCCTTGTACAGATAAAAAAACATACGCCCACAACATCCCATTACCACACATCAACGCAAATGCAGTGGGTTCTCATCAGGCGCACGCCAAGACTGGGAGGCAGCAAGTTTTATTCTCTCACACAACCAACACTATTCAACGTTCCAAGGTGATTCTAGATTTGAAGCTTTCGTGACTGCAAGGATTCATATTCTTAGGTTTTTCGGTAAAGTCACCGTGTAGGTAAAACATTAAAATTAATAAAAGTAAAATAAAATAAAAATCACGACGTTTCGGAGGCAACACAAGCTTCCGTCTTCAGGTGGAACCGTCACAGCCACGACAGCTGTATCAAGTAAATGAGAGATCGCAAGAGCTACCACTCCGTATATATAATGGTTGGAGAGGGGGGAAGGGCCAAGTACGGCACACTTTTTATTAATTTGGTAAGGTGAGGCTTAAGACTAGGAATAGAATGCAGTCTATTGCAATCTCTCATTTACTTGATGCAGCTGTCGTGGCTGTGACGGTTCCACTGAAGACGGAAGCTTGTGTTGCCTCCGAAACGTCGTGATTTTTATTTTACTTTTATTGATTTCAACGTTCCCAGGTGAACCAAGCACATTGCGAGCGACTGCGCTCATCGCGGGCTAAGCACGTAAGGTGGTGGCCGCCGTCCCTACCCACTTCGCCGTTTGAGCGGAACCCCTTCGCTACCGTTGGACGGGAACAGGCGACGCGTACGGAGGCTGAAAAGCGAAGATGGAAGTGGACGACTTCTTTCCCGCGGTTGAAGAACCACGCGGGGACTCCGCACCCCCCCCCCCCTCCCCGTCAGTCACACTCTGGGTCCACATCACGATCTTAAATTTGGAGCTTTCGTGACTGCAGGAATTACTCTTTGGTTCTTTCGGTGAAGTCACGTATAAAGATAAAATAATAAATTAAATACTAGCATAATACGACGTTTCGATTGCAACACAAGCAATCGTCATCGGGTATAAATGAAATAGCGACATAAAATCTAACCAGAAAACTATAGACAAACATATAAGCAGACAGACATCACCAAGGTACACAGAGAGAGAGCAACACAGGCACAGAGAGGGGGGATCGTCTCTGTGGCGAGGCCTTAAATAGACAGAGGGGGGCGGAGGCAGAGAGAGGGAGGGGTTAGAGAAAACATTAACATGTCAATGAGTACGAAGAGACGCGTAGTAAGTACGCAGGCTTGAACATTAGGAGAGAGGGAGAAAGAACACACTAAATTAAATAACCTAGCAAAATATCGAAATGTTATGTAATACAACACAGAGAGTCGGTCAACACACAACGCATAGCCTGGTCGATTACGTATTTCAAAGATTGCTGAGTCAGCACGTGGCCATCCCCTTCTGGGCCACGTGCTCCGTCACATCTGGAATGTGCCCTCTAGTGAGCCCTTGTGTATAGTACACCCACTGTCGCCATAGAACAGCCCATTTATACTACAGGTGCAGTGCCATGAGAGGGCCACTGTGCCAGCCCAAGAGGGGAGGGGCTGCTGGGGGCTCTGGGATCCCGGGCGGGTCCAGACGCTTAAGCCTCTGGGCGCCAGGCGCTGGGTTCCCAGGGGGTCCAGACGCTTAAGCCTCTGGGCGCCAGGCGCTGGGTTCCCAGGGGGTCCAGACACTTAAGCCTCTGGGCGCCAGGCGCTGGGTTCCCAGGGGGTCCAGACGCTTAAGCCTCTGGGCGCCAGGCGCTGGGTTCCCAGGGGGTCCAAACGCTTAAGCCTCTGGGCGCCAGGCGCTGGGATCCCAGGGGGGTCCAGACACTTAATCCTCTGGGCACCAGGCGCTGGGATCCCAGGGGGGTCCAGACACTTAATCCTCTGGGCGCCAGGCGCTGGGATCCCAGGGGGTCCAGACGCTTAATCCTCTGGGTGCCGCCAACGGGGGGGGGGGGGCTGTGTGTGCTCTGTGGGATGTCTGGTGGCGCACACGGCCCCACCCCTCGTTGGGGACGAGGCATAAAAGGAGAGCTCCCTGGACGATCGGGGCCCAGTTGTAACTCAAGACCCAAGACCCACGACCAGCCATCGGAAGACCCTGGGACGCTGTGAGAGCCAGCGCTGGGACTCTGGAACTCCCGACTCTACGACCTTGTGAGGGCGAGTTCCGGAGCGTAGCCAGAGTAGAATATCTAGGCTGTGTAGCTAGGCTAGTGTACCTAGGCTGTAACAGAGTATCAGGACTGTTGGAGAGTTGGACTGTTGGAGTGTTGTATTGTAATAAAGAAGTTACATCTACAAGTGTCTCCGGAACCCGTTTCACGTGTACCATTCTTAAAGTATCAGGAAATAATTTACGAGTCGCTTGATTCAACCACACTGACACTGCCTGCACACCAGCACACCTCCAACCATTAGGATGCTCCCTGCATCTGTGGAAAACTGCCAGCCTCAATTTCTTGCAGTGCACCACAGCTCAATTGTAGACCCTGCTGCTCCGGGAACATGCTTCACTCGCTCCGTTGAAAAACATTACACCAGCCGCCTGATACACGCACTTACCATTCTCTCTCCCAGTGCCAACTCCACAGCAAGGGGTACACCAGGGGTCGGGAACCTTTTTGACTGGGAGAGCCATAAAAGCCAAATATTTCTAATATATTGCATTGAGAGCCATATAGTAATTTTTTACGTATAATAAATTAAATGTCTTACTTTTAATGCGACTTCTGGTGCTGCGTGGTTTTGCTGATGGCCTTGTGTAGTCTGGTTCGTACGTGGTGAGGCTGAGCTTCATGCAGGCGTTGAGGCCCCGTGACCCGTGAAATTTATCTTCAAAACTAATTTGTGTTTACTTTAAAATGAGACAGTATTATTAAGCAATATCACAAGTATTTTAAAATCAGTTCCAAACTGATTTTTATTTATTTTTTCAACTCAAAATTGTCTGGGAGCCATATGCCGTCACCAAAAGAGCCATATATGGCTCGCGAGCCATAGGTTCCCGACCGCTGGGGTACACGGTACAATGCTTTTCTCTAGGTGTGTGTGTGCAGCTTTGCGCCCATTACATGATTGTGTGTGGCCGGAGGAACAGCAAGCCTTCTACCCTACTATTCATAAAGCAATGCATCGTGTACCCCTGACCTCTCAATACACCTAAAGTAGGGTTGCCCAGACTTCTCAAAACGTGGTTCCATATTCATGCTTCAGTAGCGCTGCTGGTACTGTTCATCCCAGCGGGCCTGCTGTTGGAACTGCGGGTGCTGCTGCCGAAAGGCTGGCTGCTGCTGTCTGGCCCAACCTTTCTCCTCTCCATAGCCCTGCTGCTGGCCCATGCCGTGGGTCGGCTGCGAGGGCATTTGTTGCTGCTGCATCAGTGGCCGCTGTTGCTGCTGTTGCTGCTGCGGTGGCGACCGAAACACGGGTGCTTGCTGGCTCCACCAAAGCCGCCGACTGCCCCTTCTGCGACACGGCAGCCGATGCCTGCTTAACGAGCTGCGATATCGCCGGAGCGCTCTGCATGAGCATGTCAAGCGCCTTGCGCACGTTGGGGTTATCCAGGCCGAGAGACGACAGGTTTACAGTGGTGGGACCGAATGTCGTGCTGGTGGTGACGCGCTCCTGCTGTTGCGGAGGCACCAGTTGCTGCTGCTGCTGCGACGGCATTCGCACGCCTTGGTCCGAGAAATCCCTGCCCATGTTGCCGTAGTTGCCGTAACCACCGACCTGACCCTGAGCTCCCTGCGCAGAGAGTGGTGGCGCGCGGCTGCAGCGCATCCTCCATGGGTGCGTGGCTCAACTCGGACTTGCGCGCCTACCGACGGCGTTCCTGGCAGCCAGCGCGAGTTGCGTCGCAGCGGGGAGAGAGGACGCGACGCCGCCACTTGCCCCATGTTGTTCGCCTGCTGTCTGCCCGCCGTGTGGCCCGATGGGGGCAAGCTCCCCTGCCTTCCCATCCCCGCCGCCATTGCACCTCCACCGCCGCCGTCGTTGTTGTTACCGCTGTTAAAAGCAGCGCCGGGCGCGTCGGCCGCCGCTCTGTTAGCGTACGCGCCTACGGCTTTGCTTGCCATGTTGGGCAGTTGTTGGTCAAGTCTCTGGCGAGCCGGTGGTGTGTTCTGTTGAAGATGGTGCATTCCAATCCCTCCCTCAGCCAAGCGTGGCGGGGCGGCTGGCTGATTACGCATTCCTGGCACACAATTGAAATCAAAATATGTGACGTGTTAAAGAGGCTACATTGACTATTTTTTTTCTAGAAATGTGTTTCTCTTCGTCGTAGAGGAAAGCTGCTAGATGTGAAAAGGTGTAACGCCTTACCAAGTTTAGTTTCTGTACTGCAGTAATAAAAATGGTGAAATTCTAAAATCACCCTTGCTGAAGGACATAAGAAATGACAAATTGAAAAATGGGAATTATCAAAAAAACTCTAAAATAATATTCACATACCCTGAGCCAAAATGAATGCAATGCCAGAAATAAGTATAACCCGTAAAAACAAAGTTTTTCACTATAAATCCTTTATATGCGTGGCAGCGAACTTAATATAAAGGATTTAAAAATATATTCGCCTGTGGAGGACGCGGGGATCGATCCCGCGACCTTTGGCATGGGAAGCGAGGGCGCTACCAACTGCGCTACTTCCGCCACGGCCTGTGGATGGGTTACGCTCTGGGCTCCTACACTGTGACGTTCAGCCAAAGCCATGAATGCGTTCTATTTGAATATATGTAAAATAATTTTTTTTTGCCTAAACAGTGTAAAATTTGGAGAATTTTTTTTCACGAACAATAATTGTCTGGCACAACGAGTCTGTGTGGAAAATGTCAGCTCGATTGGATCACGGGAAGTGGGTTAAAAAACGACCGAAATATTTGCACGGTCGTAAGCAAGCAAGCACGCAAGCAAGCAAGCGAACTTAATATAAAGGATTTTAAAAAAGACACTGAAAAACACACCATATGAAGACATCTTAAATTGAGCCTCTCCACCAAATTTGCTTTCCTATTTACAAACTGAATATTAACATTAGGGCTTGAGGCAGGTAATACAACAGCTTATGTAAACACTGCAAACATAATTTCTTCAAGGCAGAATTCAGAATTTTAGCTGAAGGAAAAAAAAACCTCGTGAGATGGGACATCTCGCTTACTCGGGTGTCCATTTAAAATGTTGATTTTGCACAATCGTTCAATGTTGCGAATGATATTCACAGGGTCTTTAACTGCAACATTACAGCATTAGGCAAAGACTGACAATTATCTACAACAGCGGTCGGGAACCTATGGCTCGCGAGCCATATATGGCTCTTCTGGTGACGGCATATGGCTCCCAGACAATTTTGAGTTGAAAAAAAAATACAAAAATCAGTTTGGAACTGAATTTAAAATACTTGTGATATTGCTTAATAATACCGTGTCATTTTAAAGTAAACAGAAATTAGTTTTGAAGATAAATTTCACGGGTCACGGGGCCTCAACGCCTGCACGAAGCTCAACCTCACCACGTACGAACCAGACTACAAGGCCATCAGCAAAACCACGCAGCACCAGAAGTCGCATTAAAAGTAAGACATATTTAATTTATTATACGTTACAAATACTATATGGCTCTCAATGAAATATATTTAGAAATATTTGGCTTTTATGGCTCTCCCAGTCAAAAAGGTTCCCGACCCCTGCAATATACTATACCAACATTAATCACTTCCTAACATGGTTCACTATTGACGAGATAATCAACTGTAACATGAGCAACGCTGCTG